TTTTTTTTCTTTGTTTGTTTTACTTTTAGCATTTAGCTTAGTTTCACGGCCCAAATAAAATTACTCTATACAGTTGTAAACCTCTACAGGCTTCAAGCAAAATAGAACTCAATCGCAACAAATACCATCTTGCCTGTCAGCAACAATATAGGTGACGGATAGCACTTTCTTACAGGTTGAACGTAACAAATACAAATCAAATCACGATAATAAAGTCAGAGCTCAACTATGAACGTTGATAAATTTCATAGCAAATGAAAGTTTCAAAGTTTGTTTTGATCTCATCTTCTACTTAGTTAATACTTAGTAGAACCGTATTGGTGATGCAGAGGAAAGACAAAATTATTAATTCCACTTTTAAAACAATGAACTCTAGACAAAGGCAATATCATTTTCAACTCCATTTATAACTCTTGATCTATCACGAATTCTTCGATTGCGCATGACGTCATATCCGCCATCTTGGATAAATTTAACAAAAAACCTTAAATTATTCTGTTATATTCTCCAACATGGCCGCCGTGTCATGGTATTTCACTCCCCTGAATGACTGAAACCAGCAAAAAATTTCAAACTGAGATTAAAGAGCAAATCAAATTAGTGATTTATATATCAGCGTTTTTTTGTTATGTAGGCGAACCAACTGACACGTCGTCTATTAAGAGGGTTAGTTATTTATGGTGTGACAAAACTACTCTCACGGAACCAGATTAACATGTCGTTTAAAAAGGATGACGAACAAAAAACTATAGCAACGACAAAAATCGTTATAATGAAAGTGAAATGTAGCGTTGTTGGTGTCTCAGGCTATATATATTTAGCATATACCAACTTGTGTACTTCCTAAGAAAGCGCACGCTCATTGGTTAATTGGAGGTGAATATTCTCACGATATTCACCTCTGAATCTCGGAATATTGAGTCGGCAACAAAATGGCATCTGCCGGCAATCGTTTTGCTACAATTTCCGACGAGGAAATTGAAAAAATGAAAGTAAATACCATTCCTATCAATACTAAAAAGGCAACGAAGTGTGACCTAAAAGTTTTGCTAAAAGTTTTACGTGAATTTGCCACGCAACCTAAAAGTTTCTGTTTGTTTGTTTTTATTGAATTATTGTATATAAAAATAAATTACTCTGTACACAAGTTGGTATATGCTAAAACAATTATTCGCCTCAGGCTCAGTGAATATGCAGAATATTTATCTCGCCGCTCGAAGACTCGCGTCTCGGTAAATATTCCCGATATTCACTTCGCCTTCGGCGAATAATTGCTAAATATATACCAAAACAGAAACATTCAGGGTCTACAATATATGTATATGTCTATTGTTTTCGAGTGCAAAACAGTTGGCAAACAAAAGACATATATATTTGTCGTAAACGCAGAATTTTTCTGTGTCGCAACACCAGTTTAATGTAGGGGGAAAAATTGGGGGCGTTGTTGCGAAATTTATTGATTGATTAGTCCGATATTATATAGTGCACAGTTGAATCCACAAATTCTTAGAAACGAAGATCCTGAAGAACACCAACGAATTGTGGTCGAAAAGTAGGTCCAAAAGAACATTTGCAGATTATATTCCCAAAAATATGCAGAGTGAAAGAAATGAACAACTTTTGCAGCAAGGTTTCAGACATACCGGAAAATACAACCTGTGAAACTAAACATTCAGCTGACAGATAGTGTGATTGTTTGTTTCTTACTGATCGATTCTTGAGCGTAACCAGCCTTTGGATCAGAGAAACCATTTCCACTTCGTAAAAATGTCGCTAAAAATAATTCTTGTGGTATATACACGACTTTCATGACCGGCTGCTGCTAATTTGCATAAACATTAAAAATCAGTGTTTTTGGAGTGAAAACCCTTTTAAATCATTGATCTTGTTGATTTAGATAAGGCGTGTGAGTTTCTACTTAAATTAATAAATCCTTTACAAGATGTGAGCATTTGAAGTTTTGAAAATGCACCAAAACGAGGCCACCAAGGCTTCCAGTGATAAATACATACAAAACTCTCTATTTTCGTTCTTTCATAACTTCTTTGGTGTGCAGTCAAATTTTACAAAATGTTTTGGAAATATTTTTCGTGAAGTATTTTCTCAGATAGCATTAATAGTTTCTGGTAAAAAGGCTTCATTTTCTCTATCTGAAAAAACTGAGTTATGAAAATCGTCTATGTTAAGCCATAGTGGCGGCCGCTATCAGTATTGCTTGACGATAACAAAGCATTTCTCATTCGCTAATAGTTCTCTTGTTCAAATCAACATGGCTGCTGTTTCATCGTTATTTATATCTCAAGGGATTTCGGATTGAATCCGTATCTTTACTCCTCCCCTTCTTTCGCCTTATGACAACCTTTATTACCACTGCCTACACTGAATCAATTTGCTCTGTAGGTATAGTATGCGAAGTATTAATAACTCATTAATCAATAATAACAACAATTTGAAAAGAAAACAAAGTATTAACAAAAATATACGATGTTTCAAACTGCCCAGGAGCTTTATTTTCAAATATAAATTTGGTATAAATGACCAAAAGACCACCATTAATAAAAATACTTGAAAATGAAGTCACTCTTTTTAGTCTTTATTTTGAACTAATAATAACCTTGTTCTATAACTAAGGCGCAAATATACAACGTTTCGATGTCACCATGACTTAGAAATACTTGATCGAAAATCTTTATTTTGAATTAATAATAGCCTTGTTCTATAAAAAGAGTTCGGCTGACACAACCGCATGCTATTTTTGTTCACCAGCTTATCCTCGTTATACTGGTTACAGTAAATGAAGTCATGGCGACTTTGAACATCGTATATTTGTGTTATTCTTTATTTTGAGTTAATAATAACCTTGTTCTATAAAACGAGTTCGGCTGACGCAATTGTATGCTATTTTTGTTCACCAGCTTATCCTCGTTATACTGGTTACAGCAATCAACCTTGCATTTGTCCGCTCGATGCCCCAAAATGTTAACGTTCCATCTCGCAAAAACTGCACGAAATGGGAAGAAGGTGTTTTAAGCAAAACATTAAGGAGCCTTTGTACCCTGCATGACCCAAATATTCGCTTGATAACGGTGAATGGAAGCTTACTGAAGACTCTGAGAAAGGAAAAGAAACTTACCCTCTACCACCCCCAGGCGCAGCGACTGCCCTACGGTATGCCAAATTTCATCAGCAGACGAAAGAAAAGAGAGGTGCAGCTATTCCGTCTTTGTGAAGAATCTCTCGGGGGCATCTTCGTTCTTGTTGATGATCAAGAGAACCTTGTTTACGAGATACGAACCGTTCAATGTGGAGATGGCTGTTATGTAGGGTCTGGAACAGTTCGAATAGGGGATTGCGTGACAAAGAAAAAAACAATAGAGGTGTTGGTCTCGGATGGTTGTAATGGGCTGAAGCCCAAAGTGATCGAAGTTGGGTGTAACTGTGAGTGCATGAAGTATCTACAGTTCCTTTAAATCATTTCTATTTTGATTTGAGCTCTGTTAATTATTTATATATTGGCAAGCCCTTGTCACGTGGGCACTGATTGCGTTACAGAGAAAAATTAAACTAAATTTGTAATGGGCCTAAGTGGTCAAAGTTGGTTATGACTGAAGAATGATTCAGTATTTTCTATTTGTGTCGAATAACCTAAAATCAAACGTTTCTTCTCGTACTTGCATGCTATGAACTTGAACATGAATTTAATTTGAAATTGAATTTAATATGCACACATATTTACAAATTCACGCTTACAATTAGAGGGGAAAAGGAAAGATATGACAGCAAACAAGTGATAGAATTATTTAGTGCGTAGTGATGGTTAAAGTAGTTTTGCGCATTTGATCATATCCGTTGTGAAAATTATTTGAGCTCGTTATATCTTAATTACGTTTATTATCTATAATACATAATATGATAATACGCAGCAATATGAAAAAAAAAATTGATCCATTCTCCAAAACGATATTTATGGCCTGTTTCAAAAAGGTTATTGAAGCCAATTGATGGTTTTCAACCATTCCCAAGAAAATTAAATAACAAAAGACACGACGGCCATGTTGGAGGATATAACAAAAGAAATCATTGACAATTCTTTTGTTAAGTTCCTCCAACATGGCAGCCGTGAAAACCATCAATAAAGGCGATTTCACTAGACGGAAGGGAATTAACACAAATAATTGAGGCCTTGTAAACAGTTTTGTCAACTACAAACAACATTTGACATCTCAACACTAACCTCAGTGTTCGTGACTAGAATAGGGAGTAGAAACACAGGTCATTTCAGCTATTCTTGGGTCTTTGAAGGACCTATCACATATAGCCTATTGTCTATCGCTTTTGTCTTCAACAGCCTTATCACGGATGAATTAGATAGGTATTCACACCTATTTCGAACATCGTTGTCGCACCAAGAGCCTCAAGTAACAAGCCAAGGCTCCAGAGAACGTCGGTACTTTTAATTATAATTGATTTATTCATGGTTCATGCAAGTGGCTATAGCTCTCCACTAATTAKYATCTCAAGCAGCCTTGCTTGGAGSAATTTGTGAAGTCAATAAATGAAAATGCACCATGAATAAACTAATTACAGCTAAAAGTACCGGCGTTCTCTGCGGTCTTGGCTTGTTGCTTGGGGCTTTTGGTGCGACAACGATTTCTGAAATAGGTGTATACAAATATATACAACATAGTTCTATAGTTGCAAACAGCTATTGTAATTTGTATCTTATAAAAGGAATAAAAAAACTTGCTTGCTGTGCTGTATGCAGTTACAAAGGATCGTCCTTCACGAATTTGCAAGATGTGATCCTATTGGAGGCCGCACACGTGTAGAACAATAGAAAACAATGGCCTTTCCCCAGCCCCGCCCCTAAACATAACCAATCACAGGGGACGTTGCAAATTCGTGAAGCCTAACCCGGGGTTACAAAGCACTCACTTGAGGACTGCCAGGACACTCGAGAAGTGTTGAGGAGACTCCGCTACGCGTCGTGCTTCTGAGCTAACACAATTCTCTTGCGTTCACAACTCTCGCGTGCTTTATAGCTGCACATACAGCGCGCGCGCGCGTTTTCTATTTCTTCAGAAGCACTAACTCATAGACATTCCAGCTATTTCTATATACTTTTAGATGCTGACATTAGTCTACTCTAGGTTTTAGATAATCTCTAATTCTAGTACTAGACGCGAGGGCACCAGTGGGTTTTTTCATATTTTAGATCAAAGTTTGGAAAAAAGATAGAAATAACCCCTTGCGTTATGACTGGCGTACTGAAAAAGTGATGCAACCTTTAAAATTGTCAATCCAAGTTTTAAAAACAATAAAATTGTGACTCAGTTCTTTGCCGGTTTGTACATGACGTTATAGCCTCCATATATTGGATGAATTTAAAGGGGCACTTGGATGAAAATCAATGAAAATTGGAAATGACTTGAAACTTGCTTAAACTTATCTATATGGCCCAGATAGTAGCCAAGCAACATGTTTCCTTCACAATCAAGAAGTGGCGGGAAAAAATCATTAAAAAAATATCTCAACAACAAGTGGCTCCCAGGCTAAAATTTTCACTAATCTAATTTTTAAAATAGTAATAATTGAGCCATATCATCCTCGAATACTTCAATTATTTGGAATTTCAAAAATTGGGGCGTTTTCATCCAAGTGCCCCTTTAAGAAAAGACTTGTGTCAATGAATTCTTTTGTTATATCGTCCAACATGGCCGCCCTGTCTTTTGTTATTACTCTCCCCTAAATGATTGAAAACAACCAATACTCCAGTTAAAATAAAAGATACATAATAGGAGTGGCCTTGTGTTGTATACGAGAACCCCTCCACGGTCATGTTTTCTATTGTGTTTTCTCATGCATTATTAATGAGTTTGATGATAACTGTTATAAATCTCACGTTTTGATTGGCTGGGAGCGCGAGCACTAACGGAAAGCTGCTACTGTTATAGAGCATGTGTATGCTACGTCATAACCACTATCTTGGTTGACGATAACAAAACATTCCTTATAAGCTGCTCTTCCAACCAAAATGGCGGCTGTATCATTGTTATTAATATCTCAAGGGATTTTGAGTAACGTGGTTGCACACACTGTAACATCGTAGCGCTCTTTACAAAAGGTTAAAATATGTTCTTCGGTGAAACACTGACCACCATGTGTTGTTAAGCAGAAAGAATTCCATTGAAAACTTGCGCTTCAGCTGACCACCTTCCTGAGCTGACGAACATTCCACACGAGACAGGAAATGACGTCAGGTGAAAACCAGCGATATCAATCAAACTACCATAGGTACTGATTTTTTTTCTAGACATGGAACCGACGAAGCAATGAAAAAAAAAAACCCATTTTGCTATTATTTGCTGCAAAATATATTTAGTAAACTGTGTAACAGACGGACAAGTTAAATTTAAGGCGTGAAAAGAGTAATAACAAGTTTTGACACGGGAAAACGTGTCAAATGTGCTGGGCACATTGGGTACTTTGAATAGAGTAGAAGACTATTTGGGATTTAGTCATTGTAAGATGGAAGAAAGTCCGTGGATTCGGTTTGAATATTTTTTTACGGTCAAATTGAACCAGCATAAACGAGTCTTGGTCGCAAACCCCAAAGCAAGCCTCCGTCTCTCTGAGAACCAGTGTTATGGTGGCTCCATCGGCTCAAAAACACCACACAAAACATTATTGAACAGAAGATTCTCCATCTACAGATAGCAAAGTTTGGTCTCGAAAATTTACCTCAGCTGATCATAGCTAGTGACAGTTGATCATAGCTAGGAACAGTTGATGGTAGGTATGGACGGTTGAGCATAGCTAGGAACAGGTAATCATAGCAAGGGAAAAGTGAGGTATAAGTGTGAAATACTTCTATGGAAGACTATGCGTATGAGCGACTATATGACATTCTACCATAAAGTACATCCCTTCCAAGGAAAACAAACACTCGATCGATCGATAAAAGTCAATAAAATACACAAACTGGACGACAAACTCGAAGGAGATTCAATGTTTTGGCTGGTTTCAGATGGTTTCAAGATGGTTTCAGGTCGTTTTAGGTGGTTTCAGGTGGTTTCAGGTGGTTTCAGGTGGTTTCAGGTGATTTTAGGTCGTTCCTTGTTTTAGTAAATACCAATAGTACTATTTTAGATCAATGACGCAGTTGAAATTCCTGGCCCGCCCCCATTCAAGCTTACGGCGTGAAATACATTTTTGTCATAAAAATATTCGACTAGAAATAAATATGTTTTGCTAATCAAACCAAATATAATTTTTCTTGCTAATAAAATAATATAAAACTCGTGCGAGTACAATTTTACATCAATGACGCAGTAGAAATTCCTGGCCTGTCCATTTACAATCTTTTGTTTACGTAACTATTTCGAGTTGTATCAAAAAACAAAAATCGCACTTAAAGTTTCTAATTTAGCTCCAGTTTCTAATTATCTGCTTAGAACTACCAAATTAAGTCTAAAGTAAGTTGGATTAAGGCAAACTTACCACGAAAACCACATATGTTCAACCTCTTTCACCTCCTCCGTGTCCCGATCTTTCAGATCTCAAAGTGCATTTTCACCTCGTGTTTCACCAATGTCAATCATGACGAGGTCCACCAATGGCATTCGTAACACTAAATTCCAATCATACTTAACTCACCAAACTGGCCCATAGGCCCAGCACAAAAAAATTATTAAGAATCAGTTTAAAGTGAATTTTATCACCTATTCTTGAGGTTCTCCAATCACGGACAAAAAGGAACAGGTTGATATCGAGTACCAGCCGACTTCGGTTCCATTTTTTTTTCCAGTTTTTACATTGCTTCAAGTAAAAACATTTCTTAGCTTTGTCTTTGGTTCGCGGGTCTTGACGTTTTCTACTCAGGTATTTCAATCTTCATTTTATTTTAAGAATAAATAAGAATAAATAGTTGGTCGACTCGACAGTAGAAGTCAGAGACCAAATAATTTTATTTTAAAATAATTCTATTTATACTTGAAATTTTTTTCTCTTACTTAAGAGTGGCTGTCCGTAACGGTCGAGAATGGCGGGACAGCGAAGGAATTTTCAAATTTCTCATATTTTGTCAGAAGACAACCTTTGGTAAGCTCTTTTAAAAAATCCAGTTTAAAACTTCGAGCGCTTTTTTATTTTGGCGAATTTTACGAAAATCTAAAACTCGA